TTATTAGAAGTTGGAACTTTGTATTTTCTTTTACTTTCTTTAAATGATTATTTTATTTAACATGCAGGGTTTCTTAAATTGGTATTTTTCTTGTAGTTCATTGTGTTCTTTATGTGAGACCTTTTTTTGATAAGATTTTGATTTATGTTGTATTAGTCCCTCATATTACTCACTAAATACTGTTATTTGTTTCTTTTTAAGGTATGTTATAATGCAAGTATTTTAGACCGTTGCTTTGGTATTATTGGCTGCCAAATTATTGTTGTTGGTTCATATCATTTTAATTGCAAGTAATATGCATAGGTTTTTTATCTAGTATTGACTGATTTGTGATATGATTTTTTTTGAGATTGTTTGCCAATTTTGGAAAATTTCTGTTAGCTTTGAAATGGGGGAATGTTGTGTGGTTTAAGGATGTTGTGATTGCTCAGTCAATATTGCTGATTTGGATGAATTTACTTGTGACTGTTTTGATGGAAGGTGATTTGCGACTGTCATTGTATGCATGGAGTTTTGTGTTTGTGAGGATTTTTTCTGCTATTATATATTTTTGCTCTTAAGGAATTGTCTTTCACTTTGTTCTTTTAAAGTTAGTATTGAAATTTTTATTATGTAATTGATTGGTAATTTTGGTATTTAAATTCTTTTACATGAGTTGATATTTTTTGGGGTAGTTTAAAACTTTCTTACAATTGACTTATATTTCTTCACAGAAGGTTCAACTGATAGGTGTTTTATAGCTTCATGTTTCTGTCTGATTTGTATTACCTATGTCCTTTACAGTCTGGAGTGTTATTTGCCATATAGTTCCTGTATGACATATTGATTGGTTCTGTGAGTTCATTGGGATTGTTTATGATTTCTACATATACTTTTCTTTATTTTAACCTGTTTTGCTTCTTTGAATTACATTTGTTTGATTGCAAATTATGTAGGAATTTATTTATGATCAATGCGGTACATTTTAATTGTCCTATCGTTATTTTATATAGTATATTATCTTTTTTAAAAAAATTAGGTGTAATTTTATTTATATATAATTATGTATTTTGTATTGGAGGAATTATTGTGAAGTAGAAATTTGTAACCGCTTATGGCCTATAGGCTAGGTTATTGAATATTGTTAAATAAAATAAATAAAATAAAATAAATTAACCCAAAATGTTCTTCATTTTTCTAAATTGTTGAAATGAAAATGAGAAAAAACGGTTCACATCGGGAAAAGTTATGAATAAAAATTTAAAAATACTGCGAAAAATAAGCCAATTTTGCACATTCTGATGGAATTTTTACGAAAACTATGCAATATAGTTCCATGAAAATCATCATACATTCGTTTCTATACGAGAGCTTGATTTGGCAGAAATATTAGTTTTATACACAGAATAATTTTGAGCTACGACCAAGGTGCCCTTCCTTAGCCAAAATTTTGCCTTTATGTACATACATACATATGTATATATTAATGTTAATGTAAAACGATCGGCCCATAATTGGTCTTAGCTCCCATACAAGGTCCTCTTCCGAAAATCTCTTGAACGCACATTACTCATTACCAAATAATGATATCCTTATCCTGTTTTGTATACAAAAATATTGGTGCAATTTCCCCGTCCGAAAATCACTTAAACACACATTATTTATATATATTATAAAGATATAGATGCAAAATTTTACTGAAATATAGCTTTAATATACAGAAATGTTACTGTAAGAATTTTTTACGATCGGTCTATAATTAGTCGTGCTCCCATACTAGATCCTTTCCCGAAATTCACTTTAACCATTTAACAAATTACATTATCTTTACAAAAAATTATTTTAGTATTAACAATTTGTATACAACAATATATTTAAAATTCCTTAAATCTTTGACACGCATCCATACATGCATGTAGATCATGCAAAGATCCACTAAGAAGGGATTTTTGGAAATTCAAATTTTTAGGAGGTAAAAACGGGTAAATTTGTAAATATCTCCTAAACTAAAAGAGATAAAACAAAAACGTTACACTTGTCGTTGTTTATTAAAAAAATAAGCGGGCAGGTGTCTGGTACTTTTTCGAAATTCGGTTCATTTTAGGAGTAAATCGGTAAAAACTATATTTTGGTAGTTTTTGGTTTTTACAAACTGTTTTATATAAGAAAATCGTACTATTTATTAATGTATTATAAACAGGCTACTATCGGGCCTGTTGTGCGCTGCTTTCCATGAAAGAAAAAGTTTTGTTGGTAATAAAAACAACATAGTGTCCACTGAATGTATTATCTTTCAATATTCTGAAACTCAAACTGGCCGTAATTCCTAAGAATTTCCCAATCAGTGTTCGTGAAAAATGTTCCACTTGGCTCAGTGTTTCAAAGTTTCCTACATATTCTGTGTCTGGTATGCGATCAGGCACGCCCGACGATTGTTTACAGCCTTCCAATGTATCCAGTATACATTGATGATGTGTCCCATAACCGCTTTTGACAAGTTCACCTAAAGTTATGAGTCGTTGAGTTGTAAGTGCCGCCTCATATCTTAAATATTTTTCAATAGGTGGAATATCAAGCAATGTTTTTAGAGCCTTGCTTGACGATGTGCTTGTGACATCACTTGTACCCAAGCAGCATATTCGCTGAACTCCCTGTTGTTACTCTTTTTGTCCAAAGAAGTCAACCGTATTATTGGATTAAACTTTTATAAAACCAATATGTCATAGTAGAACTAAGACCCCATTTCATGCCAACAGTTCTCCTACATATCGCCCAGCGCCGATGTGCCTTTTTGATCCTATACATATTAATTTTCGGTGAAGGGTTACACTCTATCTATCACCGGTATCTTCTTGCCCATAAAACAGGCTTCAGTATATTTAGAAATTGATGACTTTCTTATGAAAAGACAGACACTTATAGAACCAAATTAATTAATGTTTATCTGTTTCACTTATTGCAAACATTTAAAAAAATTAAGAGAATCACTTTCAAAACTAGAACCATTTTATTTTTAACATTGTAAAACTAAAATTTTTATTATTTGCAAAAAGTAGTAAAAGTTTTGTTTCAATTATAACATATCTTTTTATTTAGGTTTGTTTTACAAAATATTAACATAATTTCAATGCTATGTATAATAAAATATTCGTAAAATGTAACATTCAAATATTTGATCAATCGACAAAAATTGTTCGAATTATTCTTTATTCTACATTGTAAATTTTTTATTCGTTCGAAGAAAGGTTCAAGGTTTTAGCAAAAGACTGGGTCTTATGTATGTACATGTACCTTACCGATTCGCTATTATTTAATAATTTTGTCCGGTTTTGTGGGGAGTTGAGGGAAGGCAGAATCTACATCGGTTTCTTCTAGAATCTCGAATCTGTTACCGCCAATTATGCCTGCGTATTTGGTTCTTGCCTCTCTTATGCTTAGGTTTTCTAATACCATAATTCTATTCAATGCCAGCGCTTTCTCCCAAGCCGGACATTTTCTGTCCATTAGGGAAAGATTGTTCCTATAGTTTGTATACCCATTTCCTCTGGTAGGGAACTGAGGACCATTCCAAAAAAATAATTTTTATTTTTCTCGTGTTCAGTACATTAATACGCATCGATTGAGTGGAATTCCTACATGAAATTCTTTAACGTACATGGCTTAATCTACTCCGCTATCAATAAGGATCCGGAATATATATGGGATAGTAGGTCAGGCACAAATTTTCAGCTGCATCGGTCAAGAACTGCCAAACTCAAAGTGGGACATTTTGGTCATACAGGGTTTTATTCAAATGAGTGTAACTTTTCACCTGTTGGTCTTAGCAAAAATTGTCCAAACGAGTTCCGACAGCTATTTTTATTTATTTATTTCATTTATTCAACTAATAATACCATAATTCTATTCAATGCCAGCGCTTTCTCCCAAGCCGGACATTTTCTGTCCATTAGGGAAAGATTGTTCCTATAGTTTGTACACCCATTTCCTCTGGTAGGGAACTGAGGACCATTCCAAAAAAATAATTTTTATTTTTCTCGTGTTCAGTACATTAATACGCATCGATTGAGTGGAATTCCTACATGAAATTCTTTAACGTACATGGCTTAATCTACTCCGCTATCAATAAGGATCCGGAATATATATGGGATAGTAGGTCAGGCACAAATTTTCAGCTGCATCGGTCAAGAACTGCCAAACTCAAAGTGGGACATTTTGGTCATACAGGGTTTTATTCAAATGAGTGTAACTTTTCACCTGTTGGTCTTAGCAAAAATTGTCCAAACGAGTTCCGACAGCTATTTTTATTTATTTATTTCATTTATTCAACTAATAATACAAAAGCCTTCTGGCCAAATTAAGTATTACAAGTAAGTACTATGTCAAATTCATAGATATTTATATTACAAAATTAAATATAAAAAAATATGTATAAATAAAAAAAGTTCCCCACCAAAACAACATCATCTCTTTAATAATTAAATGCTTAGAGCATCAAAAAGTAAAAACATTAAAAGTGTATTTCTTCATTGTTTCAAAAAAAATTTCTTTTTTTGGCATTTTTAAATTTTTTTCTTCAAAATTTGTGTCTGGCCAACTATCCAATAGTACTAACCTCCATCATATTTTTGTCTATGGAATGAATCACTGTGGGTCTTTAGATTGTTTTGGTAAAGTTTTATATTATTACGTGGACAGTGATATAGGTCAAATTTGGGGCCAGTAACGCGGCACAAAGAACGTTATTATTTGTTTCTCTAAAATGAGTTGTAAGATTTCTTTCCAGCTAAATTTATTTATTTTTTTGATATTACTTCCCCTAAAATGAACTGTTCACTTTCATTCGCCTTTCGCTTATTTGTAAACAAATTTCCATTTTTCTCCCCCTCCACCATTAAAAAAAAAAACAAATTTCAAACAAACATTATTTCTCCTAAGGGTTGAATAGTGCAATATGGTCTCTCTTTGTATATTTGTGCTTTCGATTGCATGTTTACAACACTATAATACATAAAATAGTCAACACACCTCATAATCGATAGAAACGTTCAACGAAGAACATTTAAAAAAAATATATTAGAAAATATTTTATTAGATATTGCTAGTATTAAAACAAAGAAATCGAACCGAACTATAACAAATAAATTTAAATACCAATTTTAAGTATAAAACAACACAGCTTTTTTTTAACAATATACATATATTTATAAAAATTGTTTAAAAGTAAGTTGAATAGCAGTTTATAAATTAAAAAAACGTTGTTTTTTGTTAACACCAAATTGAATGTTATAATTTTTGTGTTTTATAGTTTATCATCGGATGAAATCAAGGCCAAAGTAGATTCCTACAGGCAAAAATTAATGGGACAAGGAAAAACGGACTTGCCAAAAGATGAATTTGGTAGAATAACGTGAGTATTATTTTTTACACAGATTTTTAAAATTTCAATAAAAATTGGCATTATCTAATGTTTTTTAAAGAAATAGTGATAGTTATTAAAGAAAAGTTGTTCTTGATTTTATTTACTTTATATTTTTATTATATAATTTAAACTGTTTAAATGTTTTAATTTTCATTTCAAATAGTTTTCACTGAAATAATCAATATTCTTATAAAGCTAGTCCCTGTTTGAGAATTTTGCAAATAAACTTGATACTTTTTGTACGGCGTTTAAATATTAACAGGTACGAAATTTCTTAAAACACTGAAATAATCAATATTGAAATAAAGCTAGTCTTTGTTTAAGAATTTTGCAAAAAAAATTATACTTTTTGTACGGCGTTTAAATAATAATAGGTACGAAAATAGATTAAAACAATTCTAATTTTTTATTTTTTACTTATGTAAATTCAATCAACATTGATTTGAAATTATAATAATAAAATTGTGCATTATGCCCGTTAAACAAGTCTTCTGAGCTTTACGACAAAAACTGCTCTCAGAGAGTATTGTATAATGGACTAGACAGGATACGTATTACCTTTAAATAACTTATTGAAATAAAACAACCACGATATACAAGAAAATATCTCTCGAACATTTTTATGTATTTTGCAACATCCTTTAAAACACACAATTGAGAACTCGAAGGTATGGTGAGTTTAGAGAAAAGTGTATATTTGATGAATAGACAGAATTTTTTTCGCAGTTATAACATGTCTTCCAAAAGCAAAAGATTAAAATGCGAAAAATAAAAATACTTTTTAAGGAATTATAAGAATAATTAAATGAGCAATAAATACTATAAGAAGATTAATATAAAAAATATAAAAAAGTTATAAAAAATACTAAAAATATATATAAATGTGAAAAATCAATAATTAGCATACTACAGTCTGACGGGGCTAAATCATTACTATTGAAAAATATTTATGTATCAAAAAATGTGTTTAATAAAAAATTAAATTGTTAAAACTATGAAAATAAATGTTAATTTAGAATATATGATATGTATATTCTAAAAAAATGAACACAATTTTAAATGCGCCGTGTTTAATACAATATATAATTTTTAGTTATTGTTTGTACCTTCGCCCGTTTTAAACCACCCTTGAATTAAATACAATAAGAAAAGAACAGCAAATATGTAAAATGGATTATTGCTGTGAACAGCAAATATAACTATGCTTATAATGGCAAAATAATAATAAAAGAAAATATTTTAAATGCAAAATGTAACTCCTATAACTTATGTGACAAATCTGTACACAAGTCTTCCATATATTGAATAAAATTATAAAATTAGTAATAATGACAAAGATTATAAATTTTCTTTAATGGAATATAAACCATCAATTTACAACAAATAATTTAAAAAATAATGTAATTCATTCAAACATTATTTAACCATAAACAAACTGGAAACGAATTAAATACTATGAAATACATTAATATGAAATTATTGTATCTATAATTTATAAATCCAATATTATTGGAACAATAAAACATCCAATAAAAAACCAAATTCATTAAAAAATATAAAATTAAAAGTTGATATTAAAAACTGACATTTACATACAAAAAAACTTATTTAAATAACTAAGTGTCCTTGAAAATACTATATAATAAACTTTTTAAAGGATATATACGTATGTATGAAAACTTAACATTTTAAAAAATATGAAAAATAGACAATTATAACCAAATAAGATATTCTTTGATAAAACGTTAAAGAATTCAAACCAAAATTTAAAAATAAGTAATCATTAATCTTCATGCGAAGTTTCGTGCTATGACAAATTACAAAGAGTGAATTAGCAATTGTTAATTTTGCATCAACAATTATTTAAACAAACTATTATGTAATAAATAAATGATAGCATTAATATTAATGTTTTGCAAATTGGTAAAAATTATGATAAAAAAATTCAACTTATTAATAAATATAATATGAAATTTAACATCTAACATATATATATATATAAAAAAAAGAAACAAATAAAATATTAATAATCACAAATTTAATGTAATACATAAAACATACAATTAATCCAAAGTCTTCCAAAAAGTATTTAAAATACTTGAAAATAAAATTACCATAAGATAAAAAAAATTAATAATTCAACATCAACAAATTCGCGTCTTCCATTTCACGATATTAAAAAATAATTCGAGAAAGTAATAAAATTGTACCCGATATTTTTAATGAAGATTTTTATATTCTAATATTCACAATCGACCGAAGTTAATAATAACTGCATTCAAAGATATAGAACAAAAACTGTCATGTAGATTCTTAGTAAAATATTAATAATCACTAATTTAATGTAATACATAAAATATATAATTAATCCAAAGTCTTCCAAAATAAGTATTGAAAATACTTAAAAATAAAAATACTATAACATAAAAAAAATTAATAATTCAACGTCTTCCTAACAATGTAATTTAAAAAACAATAAAAAATTAATAATATAACACTGTATAACATTGTTATACGCAATTTAATTTAAAATCTACTAAAAAACTATAACTATGCTGTCATCTTTACAACAAAAATTTCAATCCGTCATAACTCAAAATTATCATGCTACTGCGAAGCCTAAAAAGCGTCGTAAAAGACGTAAGAAGTCACATAGAAATGAGGCTTGTTCATCATCTTTGTCCACTTCAACAACCACTCAAGTCTTAAAACACAAAACGATAGCAAAAACTAAACAATATTTTCAGCATGATAACCGTTTGGGGCTGAAGGAAACAAAAATGAAACAAACTTTGTTCTCTGCCTCTTCTACTTTCAACAAATACACTGAAAGTGATATACTTTACGGCGAAGTTGCCAAGAAATTTAAACCCTTAAATACTAAAACAAGTAAAAAAAAATCTCAAAAGTCTATGAAAGCTTTTCCGAAGTATCATACTCAGAGAAACTAAATGCAGGTCAGAAAATAAAAATGAGCATGCCTTTCAAAACAACGCTTTCCAATTACATCAGCAACCCTAACATTAACAAATCACCGACTCTTGCTCTTTCACAACCACAATATTGCACATGTTCTTGTCAAGATAAAAAAAGGAAATTATATAATAACAATAAATACTTAAAATCAAAAAGAGCTGCAATTTGCGATGATAATAAAAATGTATTTACATGTTCTACTGCTAACCCCACTGCTACTGCATCCGGCACGTCCCATTTAGCAATAATTGAAAATAGTGTTCCAAAAATTCTTGAATTCTTACAAAATCAAACACCAAATTTGCTTTTGGAGACACTATTAAATAATGCTAAACTGGAAGAATATATGGAGAAACATAAAAGGTACAACAAAATTATTTTATTATACGGAATTAATTTACCTTTCCAATGACATTTTGTGAAATAGCTTCAAATTATAAAGAGTTCATAATCTTAATGTAAATCATATATTTCTTTATAGGAAATGTTCATAACTATATAAAATAAATATAATTTTATTTCATAAAAACTAAATATAATTTTTACCACTTTCTAATGATACAGAAATATCGAAAACTTAAGATAAAATACAATATTTCTTTAAAATGTTGCAGGTTATTATGTATTGAAAAATTTTATAAATTTCCCGGGAATTCCAGGTAATAAATATTTTTTTTAAATCAATTCCCGGGAATGAAAAAAGTCCGGGAAATTAGAAACTCTAAGAGCGAGTTTTTGAGATGACAATCAAATGTCAATTAATAATCAGATTAGTTAATCAAAAAATAAATTTAATCTTATGTTAATCCTCTTTGATGTTTTTGAATGCAAGATTAAACTTCGCAGTTTTGCCATACAAAACAACAGAAAACGTCACTGTTTGTTATCAAAACAATGCATATTTTATAAAAAAGAAGAAGACAATAATAATTTATACTAATAATTTATACTAATCAAAAATAGAACATTTTAATGTTTATATTTGTAAAAATAGTATTAATTTTTTGCATCAGCTGTTTACACTTTTGCATTTCGTGCTTAAGTTTAAACCACCTCCATTGGGCGCTTAAACTTGCAAACAAAATTAACTAATTGAGTACTCAAAAACATCTTTCGAGGATTAATTTTAATTTAATCGCTAATCTTTCACCTAAAGATTGGCCCTAAGAATAAGATATCCTGCCATAACATAAGTTCAACTTGAGCAAAAGTATATCAAAAGAGTCTATGGTTACCAATTAATTTTGTTTTTCATTGCACCAGAAACAAAACAATAAAAACATAGTAATTAAAAGCCAAAACAGTTTCTTTCTAAATAAACATCTTAACAAGCTTACACGAGAAAGAAAGTTAAGGATAAGTTTACAATTAAGTCAGTAATAGATACAAAACAAAAAATTCGTTATAAAAAGGCCTTTTTAATGTGAGGGTATAATTATATATTATTTTCCTGAATATATTCCTGAATATTTTCATATAATTAAGTAATGAGTTGAAAATATGTGCTACCCTGGATGTATGTATGTATGTATGTATGTATGTATGTATGTATGTATGTATGTATGTATGTATGTATGTATGTATGTATGTATGTATGTATGTATGTATGTATGTATGTATGTATGTATGTATGTATGTATTGTATGTATGTATGTATGTATGTATGTATGTATGTATGTATGTATGTATGTATGTATGTATGTATGTATGTATGTATGTATGTATGTATGTATGTATGTATGTAGTTGATAGAGAGTTGATCAATTCAAATTAAAAATTAATATAATCAAGGCCGATCAATTAAATACATATAGGAAATGTTTGATATATTCCCGTCAACAATATATTTTGTCATTACACGCATGGAACAAAGAATTCCATCGAGTATTTACCATTATCAAGTCGTCCAAAACTGCTGTGAATACAGGACGACAGAGAAATACTGAGGAAATACCGAAGGAACGTTCATCTGTCAGCTCCAAAAATTAACAACGAACTCAGAACAGTCCTGTGAATAAAAATGAGTGTCGAAATTGTGCGCAAAGTACTAGGAAGCAATAATTTGCATGGTCAAGTACCAAGGTGGAAACCGCTCATATCGAAGTTAATCGATGTTAAGTGTCTTGACTCCGCAAATAGACTCATAAGTAAGAATATTGGATTCTGGAAGGAGGTTACCTTCGACGATTAGAACAAATATAATATTTTTGGCTCAGATGGTCGTCAAATGATATGGCGAAAGCTTGGAGATGCCTTGGAATTATCTAACTTAAAACCAACTGTAAAAGGCCCACGTTGCTCTGCAATATTTTGGGGTTCTGTGTCCGTCCATGGTGTTGGACTGCTAAAATTTATTATTGTAATTATAGACTAGAAAAATGTAAATGATAATGTAACAAATTAATTATGAGAAATATAGTCAAATCCGTAAGTTTGTAAATATTTTACCAACACTCCTGGAGGATGATGCAAAATTAAAACCTCTTTATCTCAAAATTTTGACGTACAGGAAAATAAATAAACATTTTTAATTAACTACTGGACGTAGCTATTTTCAAAAATGTAATATATTTTTGAAAATTTTCTTTTTTTAATTAAATGAATTATGAGGAATATAGTCAAATCTGTAATTTTGTAATTCTGAAAGAAATTGTGATTAATATTTTCGAAATTATTTCTTTAAATTTTTTAAAAATACTCATTTTCAAATATTTTACCAACACTCCTGGAGGATAATGTAAAATTAAAACCTCTTTATCTCAAAATTTTTGTTAATTAACTACTGTACGTAGCCATTTCCAAAAATTTATAATATTTTCGAAAATTGTCTTCTTTTATTAAAAAAAAAAAAACGTAACAAAAACATTACTAAAAATTTGGTAAAAATAAAAATAAGTAAAAAAGTGGATTAAGAAAGTCCCTAAAATTTATATTATTGCATTTCTTTGCTTCACTTTTAAATATTTTAACAGCACTACACTCTGCGCCAGAAATCCAATATTTTGGCAATAATTAGGGCGGTGGATCTACGTAATAAATAAATAGATTTAGTAAGAAAAAATAAAAGTTCAAAATGGCGGTTAAAAATTTCTAAAATTCTTAATGAAATTTTTAATGAACACGTTTTGTAGATCTTTTCAAAATCTAATAACTGAATCCAATATGGCGGATCAAAAATAGCATAAAATGAAATTTTTGGACAATAAGTAGACCATTGGATCTACGTAATAAATAAATATCACATATAAGGTTTTCGGGGACACAAATTAAGATTTTGCAAGAAATCTAAAATGGCGGTCAACATTTTTAAAAATTGACCGACTGGAATATCTGATGAACACGTATTGTAGATTTTTTATCACTGATAACAAACGCGAATTAAGATTTTTAAAATTTAATAAACTAAATCCAATATGGCGGATCAAACATAGCCAAATATTTGTTTTTGGCAATAAGTAGAGCAGTGTATCTACGTAGTAAATAAATATTACATACATATAAATAAGGCTTTGTTTAGTTTGAAAGACTATTTTTATATTACCGACAATTTATAAATGGTCGCAAAATTCTAGACAGAGAACATCTCAAGGAACACATTGGTTCTATTATCATTAAAATATCCTTTGTTTGGCACTAGGTGTTGAAAGTTTAAGTTTTTGGAAAAATTCATATTTTTGAGGTTTAAATAACAAATTTTTACTAATAATATTTAAAAAGCTAACCAATTTTACTTTTGTTTTAAGCACCAGTTTGTTATTTTTAATTCCCTATATATATAGTTTTTGGACATTTGTGACCTCATGCCATTTGAAAACAGTAACTCATGAGTAAAAACAGTAACTCATGATAAAAAAATTTACAAGTATAAACTCGAAAGTCTCCAGATTAAGAATTCAAAACTAATTTTCCTCCCTACCTGAATTGGACTTTTGGCCAAAAAATTTGATTTCTGGCCCAGAATGCACTCCTGAAGGATGATGCAAAATTAGAACCTCTTTATTTCGAAATTTTTACATATAGGAAAAGATAAAAATTGTTAATTAATCATCGAATATAGCCCTTTCCAAAAGTATGTGTTTCATTCTAATTTGTAAACTAGTGTTATCATTAAATACCTAAAAAAATATTTCAAGATTTGGGACGACATAAATCTTGAAAAAATGTAATTAATACACTTTAAAGTAGTGTAGTCACTACACTAAAAAATTTTACAAACTTTTCTTTTTTTTAGTGCATGGACAGCAAAAACACATAATGATTGGAAAGAAAATATTACTTTCTGCTGTATGGTTTATAGTCAACAAATCTGCAAGAACTATTTGTTCTTTGAAAATAATCACTCGTTTAAATTCTAGAGACCTCGGACCATAAAATCACTCAGGTGTCCATATTAATATCCATATATGATAATATGTACAATTCAGCGAAAATTTAATAAATGAGTAAATTCTGGTAGTATTGATTCATAAAGAGTCCATATACAGGACCCGACTTCCGAAATTCACAAAATTTAACTATTATACTCACATAATAAAATAATGCATCTATAGCTACGAAATTTTCAGAGATGAAAATGATTTCTAAATAAACGAAATATAAAAATTATTATCATATTTGCGAAAAGGGCTCAATATGCATTTTATTGTAACAAAATGTTTACCATATTAATATTTCTTAATTCATTAGGACTAAACTTTTCACAAACTTATTTAATACATGAACTGTTTCTAGAATTCTGTCAAATTAGGAATGCTTAATGAGAGATATGGAAAAACTCTTAATTTCTAACTATAATATGCATACACTAGCTGAAGTCAGCTTAAGCAACTGTGCGATAAATGTACATTAGGGTAATGACTTTTTGCAAATATCAAAAATACCATAGCAAGACCTTGTAGGGCGTGAACAGATGTTAAGGAATATGATATTATTTTTTTCGCGATCGTGGAAAAAGTTCCCG